ACCTACTTGCTAAGTCCCCTGGCCCTCCAAGTATGTAACTTGCACATCTTGAACCGTCTCCCTAGTGGCTACTAAACAACCCTCAACCAATCTGTAGGTTTACATGAGCTATAGTCTGAACTCCTGAAGGGTATACAAAGGACTACTATAGGGGTTATTAAGGGGGATACTAGAAGTTTAGACTATGGCTCACACGGGAGTTTTGCGAAAGCAATAGTTCATAAGGACCCCCAGAATCTGCTTATGATTCCTTTTACATCCGGTATCCCGTGGGATTCCCCGCCATTTTGAGAAACTCCCCAGTTATGACCAAACATTCTAGGGGCCATATAGGGGTTATATAGGGTGTACATATATGTATATATATATATATTATATTGGGGTTATATAGGGGGCTATAAAGGTGTTACACATATATATATATATAAGATCTTTGATATACAATTACTAAGAGCCAGGTAACATCCAACAGTCTGGTGTGCAATGACTACTGCTAGTAACCCTTGCCTCCCGAAGTCTTGGGCATTTTACCATATTTCTGACAACCCCCTAATGTACGTACATGACATAGCCCTGAAGCCTCAATCCCTATATCATCCCGATGTACATTTCATCTTCCATGTCTTTTCCATTTGATTCTCCATCATTGTGGTAGCATCCCTCAATCCCATGACCCCTATAAAGCTATATAGATGTTATATAATCCATACTATCTGCATTGTTAGGAGCCCAATTATTCTGATGATCCCCCATGCAGAATATCCCTATATATAGCGTCCCAACATGGTCCCAATGTAGTCCTTATGTAGGCATTGCGTATCCCTATGTAGTCCCTGTATGGTTCGTATATATCCCCATAGAAGTTTTACATCGGCCTCAAGCAGGCCAAGGCAACGGCTAAGGGCAAAGCTGCCGGCGACTGGCAGAAGGTGCTGCAGAAAACGCAGGCCGTTTTGGGGCTCAGGGTTTTTCAGGGTCTTAGGGCCTTAGTTCGGGCTTCGGGTTTAGGGGGATAGTCATAATTAATATACCCTACGTCTCAATTGTTACAGCAATTTTGGAGATCCCAATGGACTAAGTGGTGCCAGGTTTCCTCCAACCAATCGAAGTACGAAGAGTCGTCATGGTAATCATAGAATACACCATATTATATCATGTTATACTGTAGTTTCTTATACTATAGTATGTTATAATCTACTATAGTACATTGTAATATATTATATTATTATATTATGTTACAATATAGCGGTGCTCTGAAGGTCCAGGTTGGAAGTAGATCGGCCCCTTCTAACCGTTTCAGGGGCTCTAGGGCCCCAGTATAGGTGGTATATGTAAGGTAAATGCTATCTATTTGTATGGAAACCCCTGGATTCAGGGCCCATGAATGGTTTCAACATTTAACCATTTAACTGTAGAAGACGAAGTAGCGATCGCGTTAGTGATAGGAATAGCTCATTGCCAGCATAGCTGAAGCCCGACCACATCTCATTATTCTGCTGTAATCTAAGATATTATAATATACTATAATGGTCCTGAAGTGCGAGATCACGACATGAGAAGTGACTGGAGCAATTGACGACGATTGGCCTTTTCGGGCGCAGTCCCAAAGCCTGCAATCCGAATCTCCAAATCCAGAAGCCGGCCTTCCGGGACGAGATCATGAGCCGTGTGGTGTGCGGGTTGAAGCTCTTCTCTCTGAGCCCCTCGCCCTGAACCCCAAACGCGAGAGCCCTGGGCCCCAAACCTTGAAGCCTGGAAGTTCCCTGAACTCAACTTCTTTTATCTAAGCCCGAAGTTCCAGGGAACTCACTACAGAAGCCCAAAGCCCAAAGCCCTAAACCGACAACCCTATAGATCCCCCTAAGTAGATAGAATATGGTGTTACATCAAAGTAAGATTCTCATGTAACCTACACCCTAAACCCTATACACCCAGGTGGCACAGCTGAAAGCGGCTCCTGGGCCCAGTGAGTAGACAGTGTACTTACTTGCCCCAGTAGGATGAATTTGAGTGAAGATGAAGATGGAAATGAAAATAATGGTGAGTAGGCTTTAGTGGTTGGGGTTTCGGGGTTCAGGGCTTAGGCTTTGGGGTTCAGGGTTTAGGGTTCAGGGTTTAGGGTTTGGGGTTCGGGGCTTAGGGTTCAGGGTTTAGGGTTGAGTGCCTCGGCTTGAGGATTCGGGACGTCGGGTTTTGGGCGTAGGGTGTAGGGTCTAGGACTCAGGCTTTAGGGTTTGGGATTGTGAGGGTGGCCATATTATGAGTTACATTCAGTATCATAGTCGAAACTTCGAGTGTTGATATACGCTTTCTTGTAGTAATTCATGTAGTATGATGCAAAACTCGCTCCCGAATGTAGTTCCACGTCCTGTAGGTTTGTCAAATATCATAGTTCCATTTTCTTTTCCATTATCTCAATATAACTTCAATATGATATAGTAGTTTCCATTTTGCCACTATCTATAATGGAAAATAGTATATGAAAATAGTATGCTTTAGTATATTATACTATACTTGACTGAGGAAGGAGGAGATGACGGGGGCAAATGGCTTCCGAAGCTCGTGACGCGCCTCATTGCGGAAGAAGATGCTGCCACAGGACCTGCAGGGTGTAGGGCTTACACTCCCCCTATATGGCTTTGGGTATATTATAAGAAGATCCTCATACACCCCATATTCTATTTACTTAAGGGGGACTATAGGTTTACTCTGCACGCTAAGAACTATACATCACCGCTCCAAAAGTCCAGCGTGGCTCTTCCTGATGCAGAGGCCTTACGAGTATCTTGCGGGGTCGCGGAGTCCCCTGAAGTCTCATTTTCCTTAGCCCTGCTAGCGGGTTGCATGTATCTCGCTTTAAATCTATCTATAATGATTTAAAGCTCCGGAGAAGGCCCTGGGGCGCAAACGTTAGGAGTTTAGGCGCAGGAAAGGGCCCATTTTACAAGACATGCGAGTCTTCTTGCAAGTATGTCTGTGAGTCGAAATTTTGTAGCACCACAGTACCTGCCGCCCCATTTAATATAGTGCCATAATCTAATAGAGGGGATAGATGTATCATTACATTAGGGGGTGGAGGGTTTAGTCTTGGAGGGCGGGGAGGGGGGGGGGTTATAAGAGGTTGAGGATGGAGCATTTCTGCCTGATTGAAAAGAGTTTGTGTTTATGGTTTAGGGTTCAGCTTCTGTGGTTTACTTGTCTTTTGAGAGAGCTGCTTGGGATCCGAAAACTTCGGTGTGGCGGGGGGACAAACGTTTCTGCTATTGTAACTTGGTGTTTGTTCAGCTTTTCCTTGAACAAAAATCCACACTGAAGGCCCCGTACCGTAAGTATTCAGGTTTCTGAAGCAAGGTCTCACTTACCGAGAACGCTGTAGGATAGACGGGAAAGTCCAAAAGAGAATGTGTGTTAAGTGAACCGTCGCAAACTTAGCTCAGCTTACCTTTTCCATACAAAAAAGTTCTACAGCGCAGAACCCATCAACAATCCTGATACTCAGATCGCCGTCCTGCCTTTCATTGTGATTGCCGCTATTGTAACTTTGTATTCTTCTTCGTGTGGTATTCGCGAAGCATGACGGGAGTGCTTTCACAAGGACAAGTGCAGATCCTAAGTGCGGCGAAGATCGGGCTGCCTCAAGTCGCTCCCCCTGACAGCGGGAAGGGCACCGGACAGCGTCGCATGTTCGACGGCCACCCTGCCTGCAGCCATTAACCTGGGTTGCTGTTGGGGAAACCTTTTTTTGATGACTATGTATACCCATTATGGTAAGTGAATTCAAGTTCCGCAATTAACAGCAGCCCAGTAACTCTTGTCAGTTTCTGTAAGAGCGTCCCATCTAAAGCAGCTCGAACGGAGAGTTGAAGTAGTCAATGCTTCAACTTCAGGATTTCATCTGGAAGAGCTCACCGTAGAAGAGCTGGCCATGCAGCACTACTTCAAGGCAGATGGAGGCGGCTTCCAGTGTGGGATCCACTGCGAGGGATCCATACTGAGGGACTTGTCCGCTTCCCAGCACATCCCCTGCATCAGCCTCAGTATTAACTTGCTGCAGCGCAGGGTTGTGCCTTAGGTTCGGCATCCTGATGTTCGACGAGCTGTTTGACTGTTTCCTTGATGCATTGTGCCCAGGAACAATGTGAGGGCTGGTGACACTGCTGAAGCTACACCCTCGCCAAGCCATAACCTCCAAGAAGCATCCTACACATGCATATGAGCCCACGTGATTTCCCTCATCCCCCTTACACCCCCAGAAGATTGCTGGAGCGTCTGTCAGCAAGGCTCTGTTGCCGACGCCTTCGTGTCTGCGTTTCAGGCCTCCGCTTTCACTGCTGCTCGTGCAACCTCAAACGCTCAAACCGATGGGCGCGTTCCATGAATCTGACTTTGCTTGCAACTGTTGCTGTTCTTGCTGGTGCTGCTCGCAGTGTTCCTGCTGCTCTTCCTTCTTCTTGCCACAGTAGTAGTAGCAGTACCAGGAGTGTTGGCGCTACTCCACGAGCAGGAGCATTCCACCTCATGCTACAACAATTCCTAATCCTTCTCACTCCTGCTGCTGCTGCGGCGACGACGACGACGATGACGACGAGTAGGAGTAGCGTTGTTCTTCTTATTGAGACAGATACTCAGCTGATTGTTAGTCTTGCCGCGCAGTTCGGATTGCTTCGCTGGTCGTGCTGTTTTGGCTCAGAGTTATTCCAGGTAGGTGCGCAGCTTTTCAATGCTGCGCTTGCGGAAGGCTCTGCAAGCCACACTTTGCACGGCGGTTTACTGGAGATTGTCACGAGGTCCCTGTTAAGAAGGGTTTAGTGTTTTAGTGAGCTCGGGCTGCTGTGGATGGTCCAAGGCTTATGCTGGAGAAGTTGCAACGACCCTAAAAGCGAAGCCTCCGTATCTCAAGCCCTCAAGTGCTCATTGAGCCCTGAGCCCTAAGCCCCAACTTCCCAAACGGCTAAACTCCCCACCCCTACACCTGCAAGATTAAGGGGTTGTTGTTAAGGAAGTCAAATTAAGTTGCCACCACCTGCGCGCATATATACGTATACATTAACGCATGGTTCGTGTTTAGGCAAATCATCTTGAATTGGTTAACACCCTGTATTATCCCAATTTCCATTTCATGGTCCAATATTGTCCATTTTCTGTTTCATCTTACTCCCCATGATTTTTAGCAGAAAATCCTAAACCCTGAGCCTTAAATCCTGAACCGTAAACCCAAGACCCTGACTGCAGCCCAGATGAATCTGAGGTCGCCTTCGCGCATAGGAAACGCCTTGGCAGCTCCCAGGAGCCGTAGCATGGCAGTGACGGGCTTGGCGCCGGGTCCCTACCCAGTGCCTGGACTCATGGTTTCGGGGTTTAGGGTGCAGGTCTAGGGTTCAGCATCTCAAGTCCAAGCATTAGGGTCTAGGGCTTGAGGTCTAGTTTAGGGTTTGAGGTTTAGTTTAGGATGTAGTGTTTTCGATGGGGTTTACTGAGGATTCGATCGCCCCCGATAGAGAATAGGAAGATAAGCTCCCTTTGGCTGATGTATTGTAAGAGACGGTCGGAAGCTCACTAGCTTACTTGGTTACACCCTAAACCCTGAACCCTATCCGATCGCAGTTTCTGTTCATTTCATGTTCTTGTCCATTTACTTGGTTTTCCCGAACCCCGTAGAGCCCCTAGAATCAACCGAACGCTTCCAAGGAAAGCCCGTTCCCCAACCCTGCACCCCAATTAGAAACCCAAACCCTTAACGCTTAACCCTAAGCCCTCATACTAAACCCGAAACCTACACCCCAACCCCAACCCCGATTCTAAACCCTAAACCCTAGACCTTCATCCTAAACCCCAATCCTACACCCAAACCTCAAATCCCTATCAACCCTATAAGCCTATCAACCCTATAAACCCTATACACCCTTAGCCCTATAAACCCCATACACCCTTAAAACCCTATAAACCCTATACACCCTTAAAACCCTATAAACCCTATAAGCCCTGTCAACCCTGCAAATCCCAGGTGGGTGTCACGACCCTCCAGCTCGACGATCACAGCCGACAGGATCCTGAAGGCGGTCCGCGAAGCTTGCAGACGGAGATCTGGCGGGGCGTTTTTCAAACCAGGGAAGTAAGGGATTTAGGGTTGTTGGGGTAGGGAATTAAGGGACTTAGGGTTTTTGGGGTAGGGAATTAAGGGATTTAGGGTTTTTGGGGTTTCAGGGATCTTGGATAAGCGTTTAAGAAGGTAGGGTTAGGGAATCTAGGAATCTAGGGTAAGGGGGTGTAGGGATTTTGAGCTAGGTCTTCTGAAAAGGAAGGACTCTTGGAGTAACTAAGGGTTTTAGGTTGTATAAACAGGACCTGGCGGTCACTGCCTAAACGCTTTTGTTTTGGTTAAATCTGGGGCTTGGGATTTGAGACTGAGGCGTAAGGTTTCGCAAAAACGCTGTGGGGATTATAGGGAGTTATGTCGAGGCCCCGTGTCCTCAAGGATAGTGAGTGGGGGGATCCCCACATTAAGGGCCTTAGACGAGTCATGTGATCTTCAGGGGGCGCTTGCTTTGGGGATTGGGGCAACCAAAATCCTAAACCCTAAGCCCTGGTCCCTAAACCCCGAACCCTAATGAACAACGATTCCGGGATCATTTCAATTTAGAGAAACTCCCAGGTATCCGGCTGGGGAGGAAGCCAGAGAACTGCCACGGAACAGGTGGGGGCGTTTTAGTGCGGGTTATATGGGGATAATGGAAAATAAGATGGAAACTACTATCTAGGGTTTAGAGTTTAGGGTATACGAGGGTTTAGGGATTTGCGTTTCGGGTTTGCTTTAAACTTTGTTTTTAGGGTTCTAGGTGCATAGGCAGCTGTCTACGGATCACGTACTTACATGCAGCTGTATTCTAAGTAGCTGTCCAAAAAGGCAAAAGCTACATGAGAGTCGTGATGAACTGCTCAGGTTCTCCGAATTTCTAGGGCGGGGGACGATTCCAGGAAGCATTGAGGCTGCTGAGTCGTCTGATGCCATCGGCGGATATCGGTCAGGTCTGACAATCGCAGAATTGGATGAGAGCTGGCCCAACATAGCTGTTCGCGACGCGAGGTTGCGCGATCCGACGCAGGAGATTGGTAGCAAGCGGAGGTCGTTGAAAGATGGATGGCCTTTGGTAATATTTTCGCATGGATCAGGCGCCTACCGCGCCAGCTATATCTTCTTTACTGAGTTCCTTGCATCTCAAGGACGCCAAGGGGCTTCGGGAGGGCTCGTAGAAGGAGCTTATTCCATACGGCTTCAGACCGTACACACAGGATCCCAGGATCTTTCAGAGTTGAGGGTTTAGGTTTTAATGTAGAGCCCTGGTTTATCTTGTATAGCGCTCCCCTGCTGCGCAAGACCCTCTGGATGGAACGGCAGAGAGAAAGAGAGATGTTAATAAACCGCCGTTCCTCTTAAGGGCCTTAATATTAGGATCCCTATTCTACTCCCTATTAAGGGGAGGGGGTTGATTAATTATGGGTCTACATTATGTTTTAGGGTTTATGAGGAGGTTCCTGTTTGGGGTTCTGACGTGACCTCCCAGATTCCCCAGGCCTGACATGCCCTGAATCCTAAAACTCAAAGACCTCAACGCCACGCCATCTATCGGATTCTATCGGTATAGTTTAGGGTTTAGGGGTCCCCCTTGAGCATATACAATATGGAATTCCCCCAGAACATAGTGAGACCCCCATGTGCCCCATAATCTATCTACTTAAGGGGGACTGTAGGCCGGGATGTTACACTGAACTATATGAGTAGCCAAGGAAAGGATAGAGTGGCCGCCAAGCAGAATGTATACACGACTAGGTAACCCTAAGCCCTAAACCCTAAACCCCCAAATGGTACTTTCCATCTTATTTCCCATTATCCCAATATAGACTATAAGTGCCCTGGAACTCCAAGTTCAAGTCGAAACCGTCCAGGATTCATAGTCCCTAAAACCCCCCTCCAGGATTCATAGTTGCAGCCTGTGACCATCCGGGAAGTGCGCGATACACTCAAGTGAATGGACGCGTCATCAAGCCTGGTGCGGCCCTTTAAAAGGGTTAAGGGTTCAGGGAGGTACCAGGGAGTTAAAAGGGGCTGCAGGGATATGGAAGCATCATTCTTCCAAGGGGGGACAGGGACATGTAGGGGATTCTAGGCGCATATAGCGATTACGGGTTGGGGTTAAGCAGTTTTAAGGTTGCAAGGGTAGAGGTTTCAAGGTTTAGGCTTCAATTTTGTTGATTCTAGACTCATTTTTGGGCTATATAGGGGCACCCAGCTTCAGAGATAGACCCCGCCGACCCAACCAATCATGATTGACATTGTGCTTGCTCAAGTTCCTTGCTACAATTAAGAGCCAGGGTCAATAGTATCACTGTGAACATTGATCTTGAAATCTCAGGGGAATTAGTAACTTAGTAAGTAGGTTGTGGTTATAAGTTCCCGAATTGAAGTTAGCCTGCTTAAATGCGGCTATAGGCACCGCGCTGGAGGTAGAGCCTCGAGGCATGCTGCTTGCAACCTTATGTGTAGTAACTCAAGGGCATCCAAGCGATCTATGGCCAATAAACCCCATGAAGACCCTCAACTCATCTTGCATGAAACCTTACACCCCAAAACCCCAAACCCCAAATGCTAAACCCTAAGATGCACTACACCCTAAACATCAAACCCTTGCTTACGGGATCTTAGTAGGAAATAAGAGAGTATAACCCCTATTCAACCCCTATATAACATATTCCCTTATTCCCTACTGAGACCGGTAAGCTTGGAGCTAAGTTTCGAATGCGTCAGGTGGCCAGCGCAGCGAGAGGTCGCAGATGGAAGCAGATCGACCCCTTGACGTCCTTTTCCTGCTGCTGGCTCTCGATCGCAGGGTTTAGGCTTTAGGGTTCAGGCTTCAGAGTTCAGGGTTCAGGGTGTAGGGTTTAGGGAGACATGCAAGATAATCCCTGGAGAATCAGCAATACGGACGGACGCACATGGTAATCCAGGGCTTCTGTCATTTGGGGAAGCCCTGGCCCCGAAACCCTGTCATTTGCAGAAGGCCTACCCCCTAAACCTAAACCCTCTTCTTATTACCCTGTGTATCCCTACTTAGGAATTACTCCAGAGCCCTACCTTCAGTGCTACTGCAGTACTATTGCGATTCGCATTTGTTGTTAGCGGAAGAGGGTTCCTCGCTAGACAGCTCCAAGATAGCCTTAGTTTCCATTTCGTTTCCCATGTTCCTCTTCCGTCTGATTTTCCACTCAAACCTACCATAAACCCTAAACCCCGAACCCTAAGCCTATCAGTGCGATTCCATTGAAGTCCAGGCTGGACTCGATGGCAAAACTTACAGATGGCCAGGACAGTCGCTTTGCCGGGCGTGTGGACGTGAAGCGGTGCTCCCATATCTAAATACATAAGGTTTAGGGTGTAGTATATCTATACATATATGTATGTATACAAAAAGGGCTCGGGGTGTAGGGTTTAGGGCTTAGGGTTTTAAAGGGACCTTGAACCCTAAGCCTTAAATCCCTACATGGGAGGGTTTCGGGTTTAGGGCTTGAAAGGGGCGCTATTCCCTAAACCCTAAACCCTGGACTTGTGCAGAGATCCTCCTAGGGATGCTCCGATCTTTTGGGCTATTGGGTTGCCGCAAAGGGGGTGTAAAGGGATATATGGGGGTGGTTTCCGAAAATTAGGGTGATAGGAATTATAAAGGGAGATATAGGGGTTAGATAGGGATATGTAGGGTTCAGGGTTTCCCAAATTTCGTGGTACCTTATATCAAAATGAGACTGAGAGATACAGTTCTTTGGGTCTATAGTGGGGTCCCCTGTTTTGGGAAATTTCCACCTAGACTATATGGTTTAGAGTTGGAGTTATCATAATGGAGAATAACATGGAAATATAAATGAAGTGAGCACTGAGGCTATACTATAGGGTGTTAAGGAACTACTTGCAGTCATCAGAATAAGGACGGCGCACAAGTTACCCTATGTCCATACTATGGTAGCTTAGTTTAATCCTATAGCCCCCCTTAAAAAGATAGAATATGTGGTCTATGGGGATCTTATTATAACATAACCAAAGCCATATTCTATCTACTTAAGGGGGACTATAAGCTCTCAACCCTAAACCCCTGATGAGCAACCCAGATTGTTCGGCGAACCCTGTTGATGCGTTGAGGGCTTGCGCGCTGCAAGACTTTACGTGACCCCGGCAACTCAAAAAATCTTCTAGTAGAACAGTCTGCGTTCAACTTAATTCCTTGAAGCCCACATAGGGGAAAACAAATTCCCTCGTACCCCATGCAGCGCATATCCTTTTCCCGAACCCTAAACCTTAAACGCTAAATTCTAGGGCCCTAAGCCCTAAACGCCTTATCACTCCACTGCGCATAGAAATCCTTGCTATCCAGGGTATGTTTCCACTTGAAGGGTCAAGAGTTGTTCTGCCCCCCATCCCCGCAAGGAACCGCACCGTAAACCTTTAACACTAGTACTGGTAGTAGAAATTGCGATAGATATTTGTAAGCGGCTATACTAGGATTTAGGGATTAGGTCGGGGTTGGGGTTCAGGATTTAGGGTGGTAGTGGCCCAACACGCCGTGAAAGGTGCGCCTTGACGGGCATGTCCTTCGGCGGCTGGACGGCTGCGGCAGCGTTGGAGTTCAACGATCCACGGGTCAAGGCCCGGGGTCCTTTCTTAGGCCTTGGGGATAGGTGAGCGGTATTTTATTTGGGGATACTATGGTACCCATTATAGAGTAAGATTATATCCTCATTTTGGGGGTATATTTTTTTGTTACTAGGTTTAACCACCCAAAAAAGCACTACTCAGGTTTTGCCCTCCACAAACATGCCGGGATATGGCAGGGGGAAAGCAAGGGTTTGGAGCCTAGGGTTCAGCATTCGTGATCTAGGGGCCTGACTTTGTTGGGAAGTTGGGGTTCATACCTGGGACACTGTACGAATGACGGTTTAGAGTTCTAGGGGTTCAAGGTTTACCAGGCACTACAGATTAAGTTTGGATACCGCCCAAACTCATTAACAGTTGGATAATAGATATACTATGAATACATAGAGCCCTTCATATTGCCCCTAGTATGGACTGTCACTGGGTGGGGGCAGTGCCCAAGGTTCTGTTAATTTCTATTTTGGATGTTCGCTACCACTGGTCACTCCAGCAGACACGCTGTAGGGTTTAGGGTCTAGGGTCTGGGATTTAGGTATTGGGATCTAGGGTTTCGGGTTCAAGTTGAAAGTGGCCCTGTGAATATGACTGTCCTTCTGCAAGGGCGCCTACCTTCTGGTACTTAAGGGGGAGTGGGAGAGTCATCACAAGTGCCATTATAGGATTATCTAGGGATTATTGTAGAGATCCACTCCCACACTCTCCCTTCAAGCGCCAGTAAGGCTATATGAGTATGGGGTGGCATGCTAGGTTGTTGAGTAATGCAGACACCTGAGTAGTTACCGACAGCACGTACCGAATCGTATCCTGATATAATTCCAGTAGAACCTATCCCAACAACCCATTTCTAATTGAATAGGTTCTTACAATACAAGCAACGCATAACCCCCATAGAAGTGCAGCGCCCGTTTCAGTTTCGATGTTCTCCCCTATTTGATTCTCCAGTATGCTACTCATGTATGCGCCATCTAGCTGGCCTTTCAGCATAGCAGACAGCCTCCATATATCGAATGCATGCGTGTGTAACACCTTTAGCTGAGTAGGCCACTGGGATATTCAACAGTTTCCTTGATGGCTTTAACAGGGGACCCTATATATGAATATCTTTCAAACGGTTTCAGGGGCCAACCGAGTTAGGGACCCTAATATAGACCCTAAAATACTAAAATGGCTATCATGGGGTCCCAATCCCTACACCCCAAACCCTAAACCCTAAAGCCTAATCTCTCCCCCTTTAAAGGGACCCGACGTGGCTGGGCTAAGGCTGCTATCCTCATGTGCCCATCGCTGATGTCAGCGGAGGGACGCCTCACCAAAGAGCGGACCAACAGCCACACCCCGCTCATGGCCATCCAGCTGATACATAGGGGTTAAGGGTTATATAGGGT